AAGAGGGAAGAATACATGAAGTCACTCATCTGGGTATATAAATCTATCTTACCCAATAGGGAGATAAAAAGGGAAGGGAATAAGAGATATTGGGGGAGGTGAGCAGGAAGGGTAACAAAGGAGAGGGGAGACTGGGGAAGGCAATGGCTAGAAGCAAAACAGACTTTTGAAGAGTGACAGGATAAAAAGAGAAGGATAAACAGGAAAATGGGATGAAGGGAAATGTAGTTAGTTAACACACTTGAATATGAATGGGATGAACAGAAGTTGATAGTAGAATGGATTGGAGAACATAATTCACTATGTTGTGTAGAAGAGACACGCTTTGGATGGAAAGACACACAGAGTTCAAATGAAGAGCTAAAGTAGAGTACATTATGCTTCAGTTGAAATGAAGAAGGCAGGACTGGCTATCATGATCTCAGACAAAAATTGACCTAATTGAAAGAGATAATTATAGAAACTTTTTGCTAAAAAGCACCATAGACAATGAAGTAATATAAAAAACAAAATACAGCAAGTTTCTCTGATAAAGGACTCATTTCTCAAACATATGGAGAACTGAGTCAAATTTATAATTAATAAGAGCCAGCCATTCCTCAATTCATAAATGCCCAAAGGATATGAACAGGCAGTTTTCAGAAGTCAAAGCTATCTATGGTCATATGAAAAAATGTTCTAAATCATTATTGATTAGAAAAATACAAATTAAAACAACTCTGGGTACCACCTCATACCTATCAGAAATGACAAATGCTAGAAGGGATGAAGGAAAATAGGTACATTAATGAACTGTTGGTAGAATACGTGAACTGGTCCAACCATTCTGGAGTATGATTTGGAACTATGCCCAAAGGGCTATAAAACTATGCTTACCCTTTGATCAAGCAATACCACTACTAGGTGTGTACCCCAAAAAGATTTTAAAAAAAGAGGAAAAGAACCTGTATGTACAAAAATATTTACAGCAGCATTTTGTGGTGGCAAAGAATTGGAAATTGAGGGAATGCTCAACAATTGAGGAATGGCTGAACAAGTTGTGGTGTGATTGTGATGCTATAAAAAATTTAGAGGGAGTAGTTTCAGAAAAAAAAAAAAAAAAAGGCATGGCAAGACCTATATGACCTGATGCAAAATGCAGTGAGAACCAGATCGCTGGGCACAGTAACAGCAATGTTATAATGCTGACCAGCTGTTAAAGACTTGGGTACTCTGATCAATAGTGATCCAAAAGGGCTTATGATGAAAAAATGCTATCCACCTCCAGAGAGAGGCGATGAACTCAGTGCAAATCGAAGTATAATTTTCTTGGTTATTTTTTTTTCCTTTTCTTTGCAATAGAGCTAATAAGGAAATGTTTTGCATGATTTCACATTTATAAGTGAGATATTGTTTGCCTTCTTGGTGGGTGGGGGAAGGATGGAGTGAGAGAATCTGGAAAAATAAAAATTGTTAGACTTGTCCAAAAGATCAATTCTTTTCAATGAAAATAACTCTTCTTTCTCTCAAATTAAATCTCTCCCAAGTGGAGAATGCAAAAATAAAAACAAACAAAAAACAATACCTATATTTGTTTTATGGATTATGTATACTACTGTAGCTTGATTATGTGAGATGGTTGTTTTTCCTTCACCTGTAATTTAGCTTGACATCTGTGAATGAATATCAGAAGCCCAGCATAGATATAATTTTCCAGCCCTTAACAGTAGTATAATTAAACCATTTGTAGGCAGCGTGAATTTAATTGACATGTAAACAATATGCTTGCAGATAAGCACACTTATTTCCATATCAAAATTGGAAAATATGAAGATTTTTTTTCCCTCTGCAATTCTTCTGATAGGCACTTTGAATGGTTTAATTTATTTTCTCCATAATTATAAGGATCTCTGTGAGTCTAAATTAAAAGTATTTATCTTAACATGAGGAAGGGTTGGAAGGCTATGTGATGATACAGACTCCAGGATAGGCACTTAAATATCTTGTGTGTAAAGTATAGGTGATTCCTACTCATGTGTTATCGGCTAAACTAGATGACCTTACAGGGTCATAGATTGAGTTGGATGAGACCCTTGTGGTTGAGTCCAACCTCCTCATTTTATAGTTGTGATAACTGAGGTCCAGAGACGGTAAAACGTTACGAGCCTTCCTCCAGGTTACATGTGACTTAGGATTGGACTTCGGTCCTCTTATTGCAAAATTCTTTCCACTGAACCATGGGATACTTGCCTCTGAGGCCCCTTCCAGTATGGAGATTATACATACCTTCCAATTCAGTAAAAAAGGATATAGCAATACCAAAGAGAAAATAAGTAAAAGAATGTTTAAAAAAGGGAATTATTTTCTTTTGGAAGGGGGTGGTGAGGTTGATCCTAAGCAGAACAGTTCCTCTTTGCTCTAAAGTAGACCTAACAGGTATTCCCGAAATTCAGCCTCTTATAAATATGCACAGGCCCTTCTCCCAGACTACTGTCACAACAGTGCTACATATTAAGATATCAAACAAGTGAAACAATTGCAGTGCAAAGGGATGTATTTTTTGTTTTGGTTTGGTTCTTTATCTGACGAGGCAATTGGGGTTAAGTGACCAGCCCAGAGTCACACCCTTAAGTGTTATGTGTCTGAGGCCGCATTTGAACTCAGGTCCCCCTGATTCCAGGGCTAGTGCTCTATCCAGTACCGCCACCTAGCCGCCCCCTGGGATGTATTTTTAATGTGAATTTGCATGATTGCTTGTTTTCAGGGCCAGGGCTATAAGACTTGCCAATTTCCATAGTTACAAGAGGAGCCATTTTCAACACTTGCTAATCATTGTAGCAGATCCTGCTGTTAGCAGAAAACTCTTATACAGGTAAAACAATGGAGGAACTGTAAGGGGCATGTATTTTTAGTTTATTTAAAACACGTTTCATTGAAACGGTGAAACACTCTTTGCCAACAAACCATACAGAATTGTTGGACCTTCCAGTACAATGAGTACATACAATTATGTACAGATTTTTAATACCTGTGTAAGGTAGGATCACATTTCTAACTAGTACATTTTAAAAAACCTCCATGAAACAAAAATGAATCCATTCTATTTTGATTTCTTAAAGGTTTTTGATTTAAAAGAGGCTTATTTATTGCAAACAAAATTTAAATTTTAGTATGTGTTCTTACACAATTTGGTTGCTCGTGTCATTTTATTATCCATATGACAATTTTTAGGGGGACAATACTTAGAGGAACACCATCATAAAGAATAAACTAATATGTACATTTAACCCAATACCCAAACCTGTATTATATAAAACCTATTTACAAATATATACTGACACATGATACATGTAGTTTCGTAAATATTAAAATGTTTTAATGGATTAATCTTGTTCTATATAGTTATGACTGAAATATCTGTGTAAGATAGTAACGTAAAAAGGTGCCAAGACAGTGGTTTAATACTTAAGACTGCTTATTAATGAGGACGTTTTAGGAACTTCAAGACAGGTTAACTTGTGGAAAAAATCATGCATTGAGGGACATATATTTTAAAAAGAAAAAAACAAAATAGCCCTAGGTCCTAGAAGCTAATCAGAATATGCAGCCCTGACTAAACAGATTTGCTCCCATCCTGACTTCTGCTAATCAGAAGTTTAATTTTACACATATCACTCAACCTGTTTTCTTTTTTCCTCTTCAAGATGGGGGTGCCTGTCCTACGAACTACTCGGGCTAGTTTTGAAGGAAACATTTTGGAAACTGAATGTTGGAGACTTGTACTTTAAAAAGTCATCTAAGGAATTATAGTTAGCATGTTTCTAGGAATGGTATAGATTTCATTCTTCATGCCAACACATGAACTTCTTTTTATGCTACACAGGTTTTAGACAGGTTAAGAGGACAGAGGACATTCTAAGGTGATTTTCCTAAAGTATGGTTCTGGCTTGGCCAAGCCACTCCACTGTTCATTAAACTCCAGCAAATCTTTATTGTCTCTATGGTTTAATACAAACTCCTCTATCTAACCCTTTACAGGCTGATTCCAACAGGTTGCCTTATATATTGCTCTACTTTATGGTGAATTAATACCTACTTTTCACATCCCCTCTATATCTTTTCACATGCAGAATACATGCTCATCTCCACTGGATTCCTTTAAGTTTCAATTCAAAGTTCACCATGAGGTCTTTCCTGATCCCCTCCCCTTTTAGACTTTGTACATTTTTTCGTACAACTTGCCAACGGACATACAGTCTTCCTCCTGATGGAATGCAAGCTCCTTAAAAGGTATGGGGACTCAAAGACTGTGAAACCCCAGTACCTATCACAGTGCACAGAAGGAACTTAAATAACTACTTGAACTGGTTTCAGCTGGAGAAAATACCAAAGGATCAGAAAAATGGATATAGTATCTTGTTGGTGCATGGGATCATGATGAAAAGATAAGTTTATCTTGAGACATAGGTTAGTAAAGGGAAGAGCAGTAGTAGTTGTTTAATTTGAAAAGGATGAGATTATTAGGTTATGGAGATATCAGCAAGCAAGGCAACAGAAATTTTGTCTCATATGCAAAACAAGAAGGTAGGGTGGATATAAAGGTTTTTAAATGGAAGACTTTAGTATCTGAGGAACACATAAACACAATATAATCAAAACAAGTAATTGATGATTAAGTACTTTTTAACATCCTAGTCACTGGCACAGATTATCAGTGGCTCACATATGTAGAAAATCTGCTATAAAATTTGGTTATATACTCAGAGGCAATGTAGAAAAGATGTATGTGATAGTGTCTTCATTCATGTAAAAAAATGAGGTCAGAGGATAGCCAAAGTTGTAACTGTGCATAAATAATGCTGTTACTGAATTTGAGCCCAAGTCACCCACCTTGGCAGTAGCAATTATTTAACTAGTGAATACCATCTAAAGCAGAAAATATTTTAGATATGACTGACAGCAAAATGGTAAAATTAATGAACACATGACCCAATTTATTCAATAAAGATGACTCCAAAACATCCATTTAATAGATTTATTTACAAAGACATATACTATGGTAAATAGTTTGCTTACTCCATTCTTCAAAACTGCTATTGTAAGTAGTTGTTGTTCTTCAAGTCTGAGAAGGAAAAAAGCATAGAACTTCAATTAACCATGTTTGCAATTATCTGTTCATTTCACAGAAAAATGGGATCCTTAATGTTTAAGCTTCAAACTCTGTAACTGTCTATAACTATTAGATAAAAAAAAAAAATACAACTCAGACACCTAGCTTTTAGAATTAACTGTATATATAAAGTTCATTTAGTTATGACTGGTACATCAGAAAGCGTTTACAGTATCACGGATTCATTCATACTGAATTGCCACATCATATGTACCAATAAACCTAATTTCTATTCAACTCTAGGGGCTGGACTACCCAAGTGGAGGGATATATACTTAGATAACCTCTGAGATTACCTTCCAGTTTTTGCTCATTAATTAACTAATATGATCACTACCTACCTCCACACCCTGCTGTCCCCCTAGGGCTAACTAAAGCTTCTTCCAAGGACTCTTCTTGGGGAAACTCCTCAAATTGACCTGAGTCATGAAGACCTGCACTCACAAAGTTTCTGGTCAGAGATACTTCCTAACTGTGTGACCCTAGGCAAAATCACTCAGCCTCATCTGTAAAACAGAAATAATATTAATAGCACCCACCTCCCAGGGTTGTTGTGAGGACCAAATGAATTATTTAGAAAACACTTTGCAACTAAAATAAAATATTACTGCTACTACTACCATGAGGGCTTGTCTTAAATTCCCAAAAGGCAATCTTCTTTGAGCACAATAAAGAACCATATTAACTACTGTAGTTCAGGTCCTTATCACCTCTAGCTTGAACTACTACAGTTGTCTTCCTAATGAGTTCTTCCTTATTTTCAGTTCCTCACCTTATCAACTCATCCTTCAGAAAGAACAAATCTTCCTGTGACCATATGCTACTCTCCTGCTCAAAAGTCTTCAGGAGCATCCTGTTGTTTCTAAAACAAAACAAACTCTCCAATTCAGCACTTAAAGCATAGTCCCACAATCTAGCTTCATTTTTGCCTTACTACCCTCCACACACTAAATTCTGGAGAAATTTGACTACCAGCTCTTCCTTGAACTCAACATTCCATTTCTTATCACTGTGCATTAAAACAAGCTGCTCTTCATGTCGAGGTGTGACTCTATCCTCTCAGAATCTTCTCAAGCTTCAACTTGGGTGCCACCTGCTTCCATAAGGCCTTCCAACCCAGGGAAAGTAATTAAAAAAAAAAAAACTATCTCTGATTAAAAAATGGAAGGGATAGAGGAATAGCCTCTACTATAGTTTTATGATAACCTACTATGGATGTGCATAATTCCATGTCATAGGAACACAGATCTAGAACTGGAAGGGATCTCAGAGGTAATCTAGTCCAATTCTCTCATTTTACAGATGAGGAAACCAAGAGCCAGACAGGATTAAGTGACCGAATTGTCTAAGTTCACATAGTTATTAAGTGGCACAACCAGGATTTGAACCCAGGTCCGATTTCAAATGCAATACTTTTCACCTTACATCCTGCTGCACCCCTGCTAGGCTGAGAAAGAAGTTTTAGCAAAACAAAAGAGTCAAAAAGATATACTGCAAAGAGCTGAGAAATGGCTCACATGCAAATGGAGGCAGAAAATGTAGGTTCAAGACTGAAACTTTCCTAGAAGTTTAGCAGCAAAAGAGCCAATATAATAATAATTTGGGAAGATGGCAGGGTTCACATGAAAGTCATCTAAAACTGTGGGAGAAAAGTAGAAAGAACCAAAACAAATGGGGCATCTGTCAGAGTTCTGAGAAGCCTAGCTAAATTCAAAGAGTTGTGAGAGGGATCAATTTTTTGGACTTAACTATAAAGAACTGTCTTAAATAAATATTAATGTGGAGGGAATCACTCTATTTATGAAATCACAGATTTTTAAAGAAAAACTTCCTTTAAGGAGTAAGCAAGAGAAAGAATGGTGGGAATATTCCCTTTTTAGCAAGGTTAAATAAATGTAGTTACCTGATTTCTGTATATGAGAATGTTATTTCTTAAGCAGCTGATGTCTTACTATAAGGAAAGGTGCAGCAAATCCAGATCCAAAGAATACACTCATCATTGCCAGCAACCGCCATTTGTTTTCCACTGAAAAGGGCAGGTTCTTTGAAGAAAGAAAAATCCAAATAGTAATCAGTGAACTGGGGGGAAAATAAAAATTAACTCCTACTTGGAATACTTCCTGAAGCGTGTCTATGTGCAAATGTATTTTAAGATCACATCATCTTTTTTCCTTTAGGAATGCATATCCTACATTTAGAGAAAAGATTTGCAAAAATATTATATACTGTCATAGTATATAAGCAAGAGATTTCTAGAACCAAAACCAAATTTCAATTAAAAATAAATAAATAAGTTTGGAAGCTGGCTGGTCAACCAGACCAGAACCAGTCTTTAACCTATGGGTAGCTAAAGCAAAACAAAGCAGGTTAGAGGCATAAGAGTCAGGAATCAAACAGAAATCTAATTTCAAAGTGAGGGAAATGGCTTATAAGCAAGGACACAAGTGCTGGAGCCCCGCCCCCTGTGGGAGGGACCTGGTTTAGAGTAGGCAGATCTCAATATGTACACCTATGCTACACAGTGAGCTATAGACCTGAAAAAGGAAGGGCAACAACAACAATGTGACAAGTTTGATTCATGGCAAGCTTCTGGACCAGAAACACAGACTACCTGCGAGGCCTTAGTCTATAAAACAGGGCATCTCCTAATATCTTAACAAAAATCAGTGTTACTATGATACTTTAGGTTTGAGTATGGTCTTAAACTTAAGCCAACCTTTTAAAAACTTACTAGTTTCTACAATGTATTATTAGAGATCCCAACTTATTCACATCATGTTAAACTGCAAAAGAATTGTTTTATTTACATACAGATATATATGTATTACTCATTAATCATTGAAAATTACAGGGAGATAAACTCCAGCTCATTATAAGAACTTACACACTTAGAATTATCCAAAAACCAGAATGACTTGACTTAATAAGCACAAGTCAGTTTTCATGTCTGGAGGTACTTGAATAAAAGCTGATTCTGTTAGGACTATTAAGAAGGAATTACAGTTTGGGTTGGGGATAATCTTAGACTAGATGACCTCTAACAAAAAGGAATTTTTAAAAAAAATAAACAACATACTAGATAATGATAAATCATAGGAGCTATTTGTTGAAAAATCAGTAACTAAGACTTATATTCTGTGACCTTAAAAGAGAATTGGGGAAAGAAAATGGAAGTGCTATTTGATCATTCCTTTATGCAATATCCCCTCACGAGTACTATATCATATTTGCACTACATTATTTATGGTAAACTTAACTCAAAAGGTGATTTTTCTAAAGAAATAATTACTTATAACTTGAAGGCAGGCAATAAAGCACCACTCTGTGCAACAGGGATGATACTCACCTAGAATACTATCAGTAAGTCTGAGTTTTAGTTTGGGGTGAGAGAACAAAGCAAGAAAACAAAGTCGTATATAGTGTCCTCTCCAATCTCAAGGAAGAGTTATCTAAGTAAATTGAAATGAAGAAGGATTTACTAGGCAGTAAGCATTGTTTTTTTTTCTTTTCAAGGGATAATGGGTATAGGTGGGGGGAAGACTAGATTTTACCTAAGCTAATTCCAATTTAGTTTCAAGGTTCTTTGCTGAAAAGGACATTAGATTTAAGCAATGTCATAGTTTCAAATTCAGTTATCATTACTTCATTATTATAAAGTTTAATGTTATTACAGTATGAGCAAGGGGAAATAAATTTCACTAGTGCAACATTTAAAACAGTTATAAAGGGAACTGCATTAGTTTATTAAAAATAGGGCATTTAGCTGAGTTCTTTTCAGGTTATCTGCATTCGTCTATACTAAGGTCCTATGTGCCCACCTACTTTTGCTTCTTTTGTATGCACCCACATGGCCTAGAATATTGCTCTGGACAGTGGATCCTGAGTAAGTAGTGCTGGTAACACTTTATAAAAGCTTAAAGAATTAGATTAAGTATATGGTACATCAGAAAGCGTTTACAGTATCATTGTTTTTCATACTGTATGATTCTCATCACATGTACCACATAAAAGGAAAGGAAGTCAGACCAATAATAAAGATAAAAGTCTACATTCTATTATGCCAAAGTTGACTTTGCTGCATCACAGACCACGACTAGTTTCTTTTATCAGTTAGCCTCTTTTTACTGCTCTTGGCTACCAGGCCCTTCATTTCACACAGGGCAATCTGGATTGTGGTTAAAGGCTTTTAATGGGCATAAACCTCCCATTCAAAGGCCTGACTTCCTGGGCCTACTCCAACCACTCATTTAACAGATGAGGGAACTAAAGCTTAAACTACTTGTAAGTTACTTGTCCAAGGTCACATAGGCTATAGGTGGCACAGTCAAAAACTGACCTCAGGTATTCTTGCTCCAAATCCAGTGATCTTTCCACTACACCTTTACTTAAGAAACACCGTATTAGAGGGTGACTGGGGTTCTAACTACAGGCCCAGGTTTTCTGGTCCCTTTGTCATGAATGACCTTCACCACGTTGTTCAGGGCCTTGTTCCTCAACTGCTTTCTGTCTCCTAGGCCATCACCTTTCCCACCAGGGGCAAAAAAATGAGGAAGAAACGACTATTGGTCTCCAGCTTGCCGCCTTCCCCAAGGTTTTCCCTGGTGTGGCGTAAAATCCAACAGACCTGGAGAGCATGCCTGGCCCTGCCACCTCAAAGCCGTGTGACCTTGGTCAAGTCACTTCTCCCCGGGCCTCAGCTTCCTCGTCCGTAAAGGAGGCAGAGGTGCCCGAATGAGGTCACTGAGTGGAGAGGGACGCAGAAGGTCGTCCGGTCCGAGCCCTGGTTTTACAGAAGAGGCAACTGAGGCTCAACAAAGGGCAGGTGCCTTGCGCCCGGTCCGGGCCTCACCGAGCCCGCGCCCCACGGCTGCCGTCGGCCTCGAAGCCTTCGCTGCTCGGGGGCCTCGGCCCTTCACCTTTCCCCCTCCGGGAGCGGACAGCCATTACACCTGGGGCCGAGGCCTCCGCCGGGAGGTCGGCACGCCTGCCCCGGCCTGCCGGACCTTCCCGCCCTTTGCCCGGACCCGGCCGCATTTACCTTCCCCGGGCCCTCCTCATAGTGGCTCCTGCGAACCAAGGAGGTGGAGAACCTGCGCAAGCTCTGCCCCAACATGGCGCTGCCGAGGCTCCGCGACGACCACAGGGGAGACCGCGACGGAGGAGGAAGAGACGGCTGCCTAGTGGCCTTCTCCCTACTGACCTTGCTCCTTCCTGGGCGAGCGACCGCTCGAGGAGGATGCTGGGGTGTGTGTGGGAGGAAGAGGCGAACAGGAACCGGAAATGCGGCACGGTGAACAGCCCGGAGCATTGTGGGAAATGTAGTTCCGAGGTTACCACATTGGGTCAAGCCTTGTTTCCCTTTAACTTCTGTGATTGGTTGAGTTCATAGTCCTTCTCCTCCTGCTCAACTCACCCTTCTTCCTGATGTTATAGTGTTATAGTGTTATAGTGATTACTGCGGTCTTCTCCTTGACTACACTTGTACCTGCAACTAAGAGTACCTCTTCTTAATAATTCTGAACCTTTGCACAACCTGTCTCTTACGTTTGCAAATACATTTAACTTCCCAATAAGCTTATTAGAATCCTTAACTTTTTATAAGGCAAAAGATTCTTAGCTAATGTTCTGTATGTGTCATGGTGGTGGCAGATTGGTGAAGCCTATAGACCCCTTTCTCAGAATAATGTTTTTTAAATGAATAAAATAGGTGGGATTGTAAAGGAAACTAGTTATATATCAAAATAGTTGTCATATACACACCCACAAACACATGCATATGCGTATGAACACATCCTATGTATGTATATATATTCAAATGTATGTATGTATCTATCTATATGTATACACACAAGTTCACTGTTCTCAGGTTAAGAGCTCCTGCTTTAAGGTTCCTTTTAGGTGCTGCCTCTAATGAAAAGGTTTTCTTGATACTTTCTCTCTACCCCGTCTTCCCCTCCTCAAATTTCATTTATTTACTTATCTCTTTATGTGTCTTATTCTGCAGGAGAATGTAAGCTCCTTGAGAGCAGGTTTTTTTTTGGGGGGGGGAGGAAGCAATTGGAGTTAAATGAGAGTTAAGTGACTTGCCCAGAGTCACACAGCTAATAAGTGTTATGTGCCTGAGGTCATATTTGAACTCAAGTCCTCCTGACTCCAGGGCCGGTGCTGTCTCCACTGAAAGCAGGATTTGAAAAAAAATTTGTACTGCCTTAATACTTTAAATATAACTGGTGCTTAGTAAATATTTGTTTCAATAAATTGAATACAATTGAAATAAATCTTTCTATCCTTCACACAGACTCCAGTGTTTTGCATATAGCTTATACTTAATAAGAATTTGCAGAATTTAATTGAATCGAATCTTCAGAGACCATCTTGTTGTGTGCCTGAATTCTTCATGTCCATTTAACCTGGTATTTCCTTCTCTCAGCTGGAATGGATGAGGAAGAAGTCTACCTTTCCCTATTTATGCTCATGTCAAGCTTCATTTTTGATCCAGAATAGGATTACTGGAATTAATCACCAACTCTTAATAGACAGTTTCTAGTATGTATTAACTGGCTGTTATCCAAAATAAAATTTACTCACAACTAGCAAAGATTTGGTGCCTATATCTACAAATATATTAAAGAAATCATTGTGAGTCAATATGAGTTTCACAGACATGAAAATCTACTCCATTACAATATATTTGAGGCTATTGGAAAGGTTGTGGGAAGATGACACGCTTGTGTATTGTTGATGGAGCTGTGAATTGGTACAATAATTTTGGAAAGCAGGAGTTATGCAAATATGAGTCAAATATCTATACCCTTTGACCCAGAGATTGTAGTGCTGCGCTTATACCCCAAAGAAGCCATTGATAAGAAGAAAATCCCCATATACACCAAAGTATTTGTAGTAGCACTTTTGTGATAGCAAAACCTTAGAAACAAAGCAGATACCCATCGATTGGAGAATGGCTAAAAAAAAAATTATCATACATAAATGTAATGGAATACTACTGTGCTACAAGAAATGATGAATGTGATGATACATATATACATACATATATAATATACTGATATATGTATACATATATATACTGATAAATATATATATATATACTGATGCAGAGTGAAGTAAAGCAGAGCAAAAAAAAAATACACATGAATACAACAATTTAAATTGAAAGAACAACCACATATGCAAATCAAAGAGAATATTGCAAAATTATAGACAACAATCATGACTCAAAAGAGCCATTCCCAATCTATGCCTTTGTGGTACTTGCTTTGGAACTTTTTCATTGTGTTGATTGATTATGTCAATTTCTGTTCTCTTCTTTTTCTTTCTTTTTTTTAGTCTTAAAAATACTATTTGTCATGGGGTATAGCTCTTTAGGGAGAGGAGGAAGAGTGTTACTGGGGAAAATTATGATGACATAAAAAACAGAAGACATCAATAAAAATGATTAAAAATAAAAATACATTTGAGACTTTCGTAGACGCATTAAAAAGAATAAATTCATACATTTAAAGGCCTACTATGTGCAAGACACTGAGAACTAAATTTGAAAAATGAACACCGTCTCCATCCAGGGATCTACTGAGATCCCCATGGGCATTACTAACTTCCTATTGTACATCTCAAATGTCAACCCTGACCAAATGACCAACAAGCCACAGCAGCTCTGCAAATGCTGTTAACTGAGAACCCAGAGAGCTCACACAGGTTATCAAAACCACAGTTAACTCTAAAAATAAAAGAAAATAAAACAAAATAAACCCAAAGAGCTAACAGTGGTTATAAGCAAAAAGCTTTCTTTATTCCTTTGGAGGAGGAAAACTAGTCACATGTGCCAGGCCCCCCTATTCCCTCCCTTGCAGGAGACCCATGTTAGTGCGGACAAATCTCAATACTTATACCAATGACTGTGTGATGAGTTGTAGCCCTGACAGTGGACGGGTAACAGCAACAATGAGACAAGTTTGGTTCATAGTAAGACTCATAATCAGAACATGGGTACTATAGGTGCTTGTCCAAGCTCAGCTACCACCTGATGTTGCTGTGAAACAATTTTGAGATTTTGCTGAGACTGAGATCATCCAGCCTGCATGCTGGACCTTAGCTCTGGAAAACAGGGTGTCTTCTAATGGTAAAAAGACAGGAATGAAAAGATAGGAGTGGTCTTGGCATGGGGATCCTGACATAAAGTAAATATACCATAAGTGTCTCAAACTTAATATATGCAAAATATAACTTATCTTTACCTTCCCAACCCCTCCCCCTTCTTATGACTGTTGAAAGCACCTCCAGTCACTCAGTCTGCAATTTTGATGTCATCCTCAACTCCTCATTGTCACCTCATACAGCCAAGCCTTGTTTTTTTCCTTCACAACAAATCTATTACAGGCACAGTGAATAGAGTGCTGATTCTGTAGTCAGAAAGACTTGGCCTCAGATACTTACTAGCAGTGTGACCCTGGGCAAGTCACTTAACCCTGTTTGCCTCAGTTTTCTCATCTGTAAAATGATCTGGAGAAGGAAATGACAAACTGCTCCAATATCTTTGACAAGAAAACTCCAAATGTGGTCACGAAGATACAGATATAACTGAAACAACTGAATAATAACAACACAAAGTTACAGGTCCTCTTCTTTCTATACACATAAATACTAAAGACCCAGATTTGGGTCTTTATTACCTCACACTTGGGCAATTACAAAAGCTTTGTGGCTTGTATCCCTGCATTATCTCTTCCCTCTTTAATCCATCCTCCACTCAGCTGCTGAAGTGATTTTCTTAAAGAGCAGTTTTGGCCATGTCAACCTCCTACTAAGTTCATTCCAGTAGCTCTCTATTACTTTTAAGATCAAATATAAAATCCTGGGCACTATATATTCAGCCCTAACCTCTTTGCTGAATTGTAGTCCCACATCTTCCAATCTCTTCATTGGAGGGTCAGGTCCCCAGGGCAAGGTTAATTTTTCCCCTCACAGTTCTAGGGGAAACCCTGAGGATTTAGGTGTATTTCTCTAGTACTTTTGCTCTTGAGCAAAAGTGTGCATCTCCTAAAATCTATCACCAGTTATTGTCCCTCTAATATTAATCACCCAGTTTCCTTTTTTTTAATACAAATGAACCAATTAGCACCACTTAGCTTTGACAAAAGACTATTTATTGAAAAGATATAGCAAGGACCCAAGTACAAAGTCTTTTGGGATTGGAGTCACATTCTTTTTTATTTATTATTTAATTTTTCCCCAGTTTTATGTAAAAACAGTTTTTAACATTTGTTTTTAAAGTTTTGAGTTCCAAATTCTTTCCTGGGTAGAATGGGCTCACACTTAAAGTATTTGCTACAAATATTCCCTCTACCAAATTCACAATAATAGCCTATTACATTTATATGCTATTTACCCAATCCCCAGTAGGGGGACAATCCCTTAGTTTCCAATTTTTGACTAACAAAAGAGCTGCTATAAACATTTTTATGCATATAGGTCCTTTTTCTTTTTAATTTCTTTGGTCTAAAAATAGTGTAGCTGGGTCAAAGGGCATAATTCCAAATTTCTTTCAGAAAAAGACTGACCAATTCACAAATCAATTAACAATTCAGTAGTCCAGCCATTTTCCCATAGCCCCTCTTGTATTTTTCATTTCGTTATCTTTGACAGTCTAATACTAACCCCCTTTATTTTAAAGATAAGGAAATTGAAGGCTGGAAAGGTTAAGTAAAAGATCTGCCCAAGACTGTACAACTATTTAGGAGCAAAGCTATGATTTAATCACTTTTACAGAGTTCTAATTCTCTTTACTAATTTTTAATTAATTGGTAACTGAAAAAGTTTTTTGTCTCTGGTCAAAAATGTGTTTCATTGTATAGTTTTCAGTTTGCTTATTACAGCAAAGAAGGACCAGGCCTTCTATATGACAGAACCTCTTGCTAGAGAGCTACTGTCTATATTGCTCCTTTAGAATCACACTGGAGTCTTAACTAAAGTAATTCAAAAGGTTCAAAACACTAAAAATTCAAAAAAGGTAATAGTTTCACTTTACTGTGAATGAGGGAGAGGTGGTGGTGATAGAGGGGAAGGATAGGGGGATATATTTATTTCTGTATCCATATCTGTATCTAGATATAGATAAATTATTCACACATACATACATACACACACACATACATTCAGTAGTGCAGTGAACAGGGTTGTTTAAAAACACTTATAAGCTCCCCATACACTTTGACTCATTGCTTAAATGGGTTTCC